CACTTATCTGAAACTATTGCCCTTTACTGTGTTTTTGATGATGGGTCATATTTTGAGAGATGACCGGAACCAAAACGACATGTTTTGGCACTTTTTTTCAAGATGGTTTGTACAATCAATTGTTTGTATGTACAAACACAGGCTTTTTCATAGTTCAATCTACACATGGTAACATAAAAAAACTAATTATGACTAATTATTAAATGTATCGTATTGTTAAGAAAAAAATGAATTTGTGTCCTTTTAAATTCATGCTCTAAAAGCACAAAAATCATTATTATTAAAAAAAAAACGTGTTGCAAAACAAGACATTTCTTGGCTCTTGATCTCAGGTGAATGCCAATCAGAGATTGCAACATGTGAGAATAATGCACTGAAGAGGAGCACTTGTAACTACATGTAAGATGTTTATTATTCAACTGCTGGGTCTGGAACTGAGCCTCAGAGATGTTCCAAACAATGTATCAATATCATTATGCAAATGACTAAACTTGCGTCATCACAGCGGTGTTTCAGATAAACATGGTACTAGTAAAAGTGCCTGTAGAAATATACTCAGAAAACCATGCCGAAATACAGTATTATAAAAACTGATGCCCAAATTGCAGTCACAATGTTGATTGAGTACAGTATGACTGTCTGTACTAATTTGTTAATTTTCTTTTCTTAATATATATATAGGTTATCCTATGAAGGTCAGGGATTTGAAATTTAAAGTAAAAAGCTATTCATGTTTTAAACTTGGCTGGGCTTTTTACAACAATCAGATGACAGGATGCCCATGCCGTAGTAAACATAGAGAGTTGAAAGAATTTGGAATTCGAGTATCGTCATTTGGAACAGACTTTAGAAGGAATGTTGAGTCGTGTTGATTAGATGTCAAATTTGCTATCTGATCACACTGATACTGAAAATAACAGAATCAGAGGTGAGACCAATATTGAAATTAACATGAATGTTAAAAGTGGAAAATACCTGACTGATAAACCTTTACATACAAACTACAGAGTGTGACTATTAATTTATAGACATTACTTTTACTGTAGTTTTGTTGTATTCCTAAAGGTGTCTATTGATAGATTTCAATATAAAAACATTGTTTGCTACATATTCTCATGTCTCTTACAATTTGTTATAGTTAGTTTGTTGTTCGTGGTATTTAATTATTGAACCATTGGTAGTTTTTGCAACCCTGTGACCATCTGACTGTCTGTCTGTTCTCTGTCTGCCTATCTTGCAACAAATTTGTAAACATATTTCAAGAATCAGCGATCAAAATCGAATGAAACTGAGCAGTCTTATACTATAAAACATGCAAGATCTGATTAGGTTTTTGCTAAAAATCTGTTAAAATTAGGAAATTTCTATATGAATGGTATTTTCTCGTTTCATTG